GCCGGCCATCCTGAATAGCAATGTTGAGTCGGTAATCTTGGACTCCTTCCTACTTAGGAAGATAAGGGTCCTTGGCTCTTGGCCCAAGTCAATCTTTAAACCGCAACTTGGAGTTCGACCCAGTTGAATGGGCATCGATGCCGGACAAGACTAAGAACATCAAATCCAAAATCCCAATTCATGAGTATACAGTTAAACTAGGATACAGACTCTCACTGAAAACCAAAGACCCCGATCCTATCATTAAAAAAAGATGGCACAATCTACTGGGTCAAGAGGCAGACAATCTCACGCAGATCCAGTGGAAAAAGTTCAAGCTTATCATGCCAATCAAAATCAGAAGCTTACAATGGCTAATCGCCTATGCAACATTACCAGTGAACCAATGGCTACACACGAGGCGTAAAAGTTCAGATCCCAACAGCTCAGACTTGTGCATGGTTTGTAATGAAGGGTCGGTAGAAGACATAGTTTACTGCCTAATACATTGTAGAGAGGTGACAGACTACTGGGCAAGAGCCTCGGCACTCTGGGACTCCCCATTCCCAACCCCCTTCCCCAAACATCCCATCCAACTTCTCCTCTTGACTAACATCCCGCAACAGCTCCAGAAGGCAGAAAAAATCTGGTTTGGACTCATCAGAAAGGTTACATTATGGGTCATATGGAAAGAAAGATGCAGCAGAACGATTGAAGGACTGTCCAACCCACACTAGAAAGTTTGGGTGGAGACGAAAATGATGATACAAGCCGAAGTCCTCTGCAGATGGAGGAAGACCAAACAGTCATGGACGGAGGACGAGGAACAACGAAAGAAGGAGAGATGGACCTTCATCAAGAACTGGTTGATAGACGGCAAGATTGCGGAGTTACGAGAAGACCACATTTACTGGAAAGAGTGGCACAACTCAACCCCAGGAACGATTCACCAGCAACAGATAACTGCGGATGGACAGACATTCCATGATCAGACATCCAAGAAGGGGAATAAGACGAAAGTAAGGGTGTCATACAGCAGGATAGTAATCGAGGGTTTAGGGATTAAGGGTTTAAGGGATTCTCAGAGAGGGTAGAGAAATTTCGGGCAGGGGTCAGGGTGGCTCTCGGGTAAGGATGGATAAAAGAAGGTAAAGAAGGTACAAGGGACAGACACAACAACCGGGCAAACCCTTTCTAGGAATTTAGAACTATCTGACAACCCTAGCCACTAGGTCTGAGAGAAGACTTTCCCTACCAGACGAGGACGAGCAACAGAGCACAAGTACAGTTGAAGTTTACCAAGACCTGGCTGATTGAAGGAAAGTTGCAGAGACAAAGAATTCTTATGTACGGTGGAAGGACGAGCACAACTCGGAAGATGCTAAGAGAGGACCAATATACCTCACGATTAATGGAGTAGTCCTGATACAGACAACAGTGTCCTATGCTGAGCAACAAGGGTATTAGGCGGGAACTTTAGAGAGGAAGGAGACTCAGATTTCTGGCTGGAGACAAATCCTACCATTTTCTCTCGCTTCGAATAGGTCTATTTGACAGGCCCAAGAAGGGAACCTGAGCGGAGCAAGTTGTTAGGGCAAGCTGACAGTCAATCCTCCCTCAAGGGAGCAATCAATGCTGGTCAGGGGTCCTTCAGCCATATGGAAGGAAGTGTGAGCGTGTTTCATGATGTAATATTCTATTCTGACTTGCCGGGGGAATAGGAACCGGACTGATGCTCCCCAGAATGGAAAATGAGCCAGGTCCATAAGGACCTGTTTTTGTTATTAAAAAAAAAAAAAAAAAAAAAGTTTTGAAGTTCTATGTTTTAACTTCTAACCCTGAAGTTAACTACCGTCTTCACCTGAATAGAATGCCCAGTCATTATAGTTGTATTTGGGGCAACTTCCAGTCCAGATACAGCAATAATTACGGGGCGTTCTATTCGGGTGAAGACGGTAGTAAGAGTGTAAGTTTACCGAACTTCGTAAAATTAGTATACAACTAGATTTTAGTTAAGCTAAATTGCAAGGGAGTGAGGTAAAAAAACATTGGCACAGAACAAGTCTATGCGGCTTAGCTTTTGGCCAAGCCAAGGTTCTAGGGCCGAAAGCCGGACCTAGAGCCTCTAGAGAGACTCCAGAAAGTCCTTAGGTCCGTAGGCCTCGGGTCAAGGGTTAATTTGAGATGCCCAGGGCCTCTAGAAGTCAAGAGTAGGCCCTAGGAAAATTAACACGGGATCGATCAGAAGTCAAAGAGACAAAGTTTTCTTCAGGAGTCAAACATGGCCACAGATCACGCACATTGTTTTTTTTTCAGGAGTCAACCATGGCCACAGATCACGCACAATCCAAAGGATCTGCCAGTTTCTGGAAGCGTTCAGGGCTCGCTGGGTCTGAGGCACACATTGGCCGCGACAATTTCTTGGGCCATACATACCGATTAAGAAATCGCAGCCATCCGATGAGGCAACCTGATGCAGACCAGGGACAGTGAACACTACAATATCTGGGTCTGTCCCAAGTTGTGCATTCATTCTCCCTTGCGCTGCTGATGGCTGGAGTGCTGCTACGTGAGCGTTTGCGCAGCAACAAGGCAGACATAGAGTGAGAGTGATAGAAACCACAGCCAGAACCGAAGGTGCACGTGCAGCATATCTTATTAGTATGACAGAGAGTGAGGTCCGGGGGAGAGTTCATATCTTGTTGTGTGTGTGTGTGTGTGTGTGTGTGTGTGTGTGTGTGTGTGTGTGTGTGTG